ATTGTGAGAAAACCAGGTGTTGGGATATCATAGTGCTAAACACATGGAATAAAGCTAATAAAGATCAAGGTTGAAATGTAAGGTTTCTGTTTGGTAGTGGCTTGCTTTTCTAAGAATAGATTTTGACTGAGGAATTTTAATCCTTATTCGCTTTGATGTGTCGTTTCAGTTCAAAGTCAATATTTCCATCTAGAAAGCACAAACCTTTCTTCTTATGGAGGAACGGTATGGTTAATAATCAAAAAGCGAGGACCAGATGTACTCGATAGAGATCGCCAATTTGCATTTATTCATTACTGTACAATTTTTCTGTATTCTTGGAAGATTTTTTAAGCTTTTTAAAGATAAATATTTGGCCACGGCTAGCTATGTAACCCCTTGATAGTCATAGCCACATTCTGCTCATCAGTTTTAAGATTAACATGGCAGTATAGTGAACTAGCATTGTTGTTGTCAAAGTAATGAAAGCCCCTTTTGCGTTCATCCATTTTGTTTCTCATAAATGATTGATGAAAGCCAGATGAAAATATTTTCTGCTTACAAGTTACTGTCGAAGGAAAATGCGAAAATCTGTTTTCGATTTTGCCATAGCAAAGGGAACATGCACCCACCTTCAACTCACCTCTTATTCGCACTATAAAACCTTCCTTCTTCAATGATTATTGTGGAAAGTAAGAGAGAAACAGAGTGTTGAAACGATTTCAAGGGGCTGCAATATTCAATAAGTAATGACATTTCTTTTGCCTCTTGTACAACCTACGCTGCGTGACATTAACAGGTGAGTAATTGCTTGAGTTACTCTGACTGCAATGCTCTGATGTTTTCTCAAGGGTTATTTATTACTAAATGGTGAATCAATTAGAATGTAAGATAAAGGAATATTATCCATTAATCAGCACTTCGTCGTTTGGTTTTATTATAATCTGTGGAACATGTCGCCAAAACAGATAAAATACTGGTATGCTAGAATAAAAAAGATCAGTTTTACCTTTTGCAAGGCGAACTTTACATTCTTGTCGCATTCCTGTCAAAAACACCCTTCATTTTTGACCATTCAGTTCTCCTTGCTTTTCTCATTCATCTTAGTCAAATAATAACGAAATAGGAAAGGCAGAAGAGATAAAATGAATTTTGGCCATGCGAAGGTTAATCTGTGAACCATTAATGAATGACTTAGGTTTTGATTATTCTTTTTGTATTTAATGGGCTCATAAATTATTATAGTAAAGATAACAATTAATTATTTTCAGTTGCATGTCTTCTCCCAGAACCTTCTTTTTCTGGGTGTTTACAAACAATTTCCAACATTCGGGCGTAGCAAGACACGAAACCGAACTTAAAACTGTCTGTAGTTAAGCTCATACACTAATTGTTTGTGTCACATTTAAAGATTTTCTTTTAGGTTTCCGCCATTTCAGGTCTTAAATTGGTTCAGTGTCAAACAAACAAAACGGTCATTTATGAATTTTTCCACATTTCGTGACAGTGCTTTTATATGAATTTCCAGTGAACGTGAAAACAGTTAACCAATAGGTGTATGAATATCTTTATTCACCTTTCAGCTCTCAATCTGATATTTTTATCAAAGTATGCGGCAATAAATACGGTTTTGAACTGGTACCATTTAAATTAAGATTTTTAGAAGAAGGAATAAGAAGAAAATATACCCAAGAACTCAGTATCCTAACAATGGTGCTGTCAAATGAAATAGTCATGAACTGTAAATACTTTAACAACCAGATACAATTTTTCCTACAAAAACGCTCTTTAATTAAAAGACAAGAGGAAAAAACTCGATCACAATTCATCGTGTATAAATAAATGATGATCTAAGATTGTTGTGGTTTTATCTTCTAAAATGGTAGGAACATATAAAAGCAGATATCTTTTTTATCATAACAGAAGAGCGAGGTAAACGAAAAGAGTCGATCATCTACACTCTAGAGCGACGATGAAAACATCTGAAAAAATTGTTGCTCTGTTGGGTATCTTATTCATCGCTGCTCTCCTGGTTGATCAGGCAACTTGTTTTGTAACAAAACACCAAAGGAGAGAGTTTGAGGTTAGTCCAGTAACCCAGATACGTTTAAAAAAATGTTTACTCTACAAGAAATAAGAAACCTTTATTATCTGGTTAATAGCTTGAGGTGGATATTTGTTCAAGGGCAGAGCATTCAAAGTGATAATTCGAAGGTCATAAGGCCGCCTCCTTTTTAGATTCCTGAGAAATTGACCTTTCCCGACAATTCTTGTGTCATAGACTATAACAATGGACACCTTTGCCCAATAATCATCACGGAAGACTACAGAGTCAAAGGCCATGGCTTTACTTCGCTCAAACCACTGCGGTATTGAGGGAGGCTCACGGTTCTCACTCATCAAATTGAATTGAGGGTGAAACCTGTGAAATTGTTACGGTTGACGTTGATGCAAAAGCATTCTACTCAAGGAGAGTAGCAAAAATTTTAGTCGCTTCATGCTTAACCCTCCCACTATCAAGATCTCATTTAGTAATTCTCCTCACTGTCTGCCATACAATTCTTATGAGGTTAGTATGGAGAAGTTGGTAGAAGATCAACGAATGGTAAGAAGAAAATCTGTCTTGGTCACTTGTGATGAACTCTGGTGGTCTGGTTTACCATTTCTCTTGTCTTAAATTCTTTATCTCATGGTCTTAGAGCACTAGAAATTTCCTCTTGACCTAGAAATGTTTCGACAACGAAATTCCAAATATTAAATAAACATTATCGTTTTTGACGTTTAATCACTCTGCAGTGTATTTGATGTTTTTTTAGATGAAACGTGCAACGAGGGAGATTTGTGCTGCAGCTAGATCATTGAACTGTGAGGGCCTGGCAAAGAGGGAATTTCGTGACCCCGATGACAGTGCAAAGTAGAACGGCTCCTTGCAATGACGAGCGGCCGTAAGAGGAGCAGACTTGAATCGCGTAACAACAAGAAAATGATATGATTAGCCTAAGCTTTGATAACGAATAACGAAGATAAAATGAAACCTATCAATCATGTAAATTGAAAAAGAATAAATATCTGGCATAAAGGAATAAATATCTGGCTTCATATATGGCTTCTTTTCCAGTATCTCAGTTTGCATACTGTTTTAGCACTTTACCACAATGTCGGCAGTACCTAACTTTGCTACCCTCACTGAATGAAGAACTCTCTAAAAGGACGACTGATCCATGTCATCTCATTTCATGAGTGACTCAGAGAGGATAATTTTTAGCATTTCTCACTAAAGAAAAAAAAACCAATACTGAAACCAACGGATAACTAAATCGTTTAGAAATCAGTCACTATTTAAATATCACCTGGAGTGGGAAGGAGGGTAGTCTGTGGATTTTTGGGGGCTCATATGAATTTTAGGGGGAACAGAATGGGGATCAGTCGTCGCTAACAAGAGGGGACTATAGAAAATTGAGAGCCAATGAGGGGGAATCATAAGAATACTGCAGGGCCTTAGGAGGGGATTGGGTAAATTGTATATGGTTTTTAGGGGGAACAGAGTAGGGATCAGTCATCGCTAACAAGAGGGGACTAAAGAAAATTGACAGCTTATTAGGGGGAATCATAAGTATATTGCAGAGCCCTAGGAGGGGATTGGGTAAATTGTATTTTGACACAACCTAAATCTCCCGACCCCCCACTCCCACCCCCTCCGGTGATAAATAATGACCATTCGCTTAGAAATAATTAAAAAAATGATTATTTGCCGATTATTGAAAGTCCATTATATATAATTATAATTTAGTGAATTAAGAACCCACTCCCTTAAGTGGGCAAGTGACGTGCTGGGAAACTGGATGAACAAAAGACCTACGCAATTCCAAAGTGGTAACGATATATCATCCTGTCCTAAACTTGGAAAAGCTGAGTTTTCGAAAAATTTTAAGCCGATTGATCTTTCATTTGCATAACCTCGAAGCTGAGGAAAAAATGTGACAAAGTTTGAGCCCAATTATCTTAAGTTATTTAAAACCGCGCACATAATTATATTTCGGAGTAAGTGGAAGAGTTAAGTTCCCTTGATTAGATGAATATAAGCTAAATGGTTAAAATTTGTCGAATTTAAGAAATTGTTCGCCAAATCAAATGTATTAAGAATTGGTCGTATTTGAAAAATTATGTGCATTCTTTAATTAAGTGAAGTGCGAATTTGAAAATGCAGGTGCACTGTGAAATTTTAAGCTACAGGGCAAAGAAACGAGGAATCTTGGTTCACCATAGCAATTTTTATCCATTGTATCCTCCTTTATTAACCATTTTACTCCCACAAGTTATTAACCTGCAACTTCTCCCTTTAATATCCATAAATTATCCAGCAAAACAGTAACGAGAAAACACAAACTTATTTGGTAGAAGTCGCTATCGTGATGCATCATGTTGTGTGAGGCGGCTGGAGCGGAGAATGAAAAGTCAGACTTTGCATTGGGAGCTAAAGTAGTAATGTCATACTCGTCAATAGAAACCTACAGGACAGCTCTCAAAATGTTGCTAGCCAGCGAATTTTTCGAATTTTATCAATAAAAACTGTATCTTTGACTCAAAAAAAATCTTTCTCCTTCAAAATCAATATTCCAGAACTGTTAGGAAATTTGTTTTTCGGGCTGCGGGAGCGAAGCGAGCTAAGGTTTCAGGTGTGACAGGAATGAATTGTCTTTTCTTTTGTTCTTCTTTTTTCTTCAATTGATACGGAATATGTTACTAGCCAAGACAGCCACTCCAAAGTAACTCTGATTGACTTACGATTGGTTCTTTAGTAAACCATGAACTTCTCAAATTATTTTGTTCGATAGGAGCACTGTTAATATACCTATGCCTAATTCATGAGTAATCCTAGCTGTGAGATTATAAGATTTCACCTCTTGGTAATTTCTTATCGTTTTAAGAAAAGGAAATCTAGATGGGCAAGAATTAAACCCATCTTTGTTTGTTCGAACTCTATACAAGAGAAGACGTGTGCTAAAATATCTCATCTTTGGTCAAAATTGATCATTTTTGTTTTTTTAACAATTATCCATGAAAAATCGTGTCTCCTGCCTCAGAAAAAGTCTTTGATTCATTTTACCTCTAGGAATTATCCCTCAAAGTTGGCTATCACTGCTGAGAGTCGAACCAGGGATCTGGTAATGACTGCACTGTTCCATGCTACAGAAACAAGGTAATGATCCTGTTTTCTGGTTAAATCATCTGTTCAATTTTGGTTTTTTAGCTGTCTATATGTGTCCACGAATCGTACGATTTATTGACAAAGAATAGCCCTTTCTTGTAGAAAAGGCAGCTGTATGTAGTCTGATGGATAACATTAATAAACAAATGCTGTACGCTTGCCTCATGTAGTAAGAACATATGCTAGGAAGCACCTGGGTTTGTTTCTTCACCTTTTACATTTTTTTGCACAACTGCTGCATTGATGTCTTTAAATGCAGAACTTATTTGTAAGCAAGATTGAGGAAGTGCCTGTTAAAACAAGAGTCTACAGAGGGAAAGATAAAGTATACATTCGTGGACTCTCGTGTCATGCAATATGCGTGACACCTACATTGGGCCCTATTTCCTGTTTCTTCAAAGTCAACGTTTATGTGCTCGCACAGTGGTGATTGCTTGGCGCACGAAAATTCTTGCTAGCTCTTCTCCCTCGGGGAACTGTCATGTTTGTCTTGCTGCTCTGTTGAAACAAAAATATTTGCTTATCAAAATTTGTTTTCGTCAGCTATAAAAGAAATAAGCGATCTCAGTTGTTCAGTTAACATTGCTTCGTATGCGCATACGGATCGTTTTCGAACATATCTAATATTAAGAGAATTACAAAGCATGGTGATGCTTGGAGTCCTACTACCAGCCTTATTTGTGACGTTTGTTGCTGTCTCTGCATCCCATGAAGAAGAGGCATATGTAAGTAACTTTGCTCAGATGTGAAGAGTTCCAAACTATTACATTGTACAACATTTGATGCTTCGCTAAAGTTAACCGTCTTTCCAAAGATTTTAATCTAATTTTTTTTGGAAAAAATTTGCGATCTCAGTTTGCTTTGTTCATAACGTAAGGTAATATTACTCTTGAAAGACAATTTTCAAACAACCGTAATTATATTTAGAGAGAAAGGAAACGGACGATAATGAGATATTAACTTGTCTTTTTTAGCATCGTTACACGGCTACACAGTTATATGATATTCTGCCCATTCTATATTGAGTGTATCGTTTTTCAATTAAGAAATACCTCCGAGCCTACCATTACATATCTCCAACACGCTCTGGAAACTACGACTTTAACATAGCAATCAGGAATTTTCAACATTTCATGGGTTTACCAGTCACTGGGAATGTCGACGGAGCCACAATAAAAATGATGAGAAAACCACGGTGTGGTGTGGCAGATGTCGAAGATGGTGCTTTCAAAACTCGTAGAAGGCGGTACAGTGTTTTTGGCTCCAAATGGTCTAAAACACACCTGACTTATTATCTCCAACACGGCCAGGATCTGCCGCGTTCAACACAAAACCGAGTAATCGAACGTGCCTTGCAGTATTGGAGTGAGGTGTCTCCGCTAACGTTTTCGCGCGTTGGTCATCCAAGCCAGGCAGATTTGAAAATGAGGTAAGCTGCATGAGGTTCCTGACATTCTGTCTATAAATGTCGGTCCAAAGGCGTAAAGGGTACCAGAAAGCTTTCAGGTAGTCCTTAGCAAGCCACGAAGCTTACTCTTCTCTTAGATTCCTATGTCTGTATCCGCAGCGCCCTTTTAGGTTGATTTGGGACGGCCTCTTTTTATTATACATTTCAATATTATTCTCCGCAAGTGACCAATCCAACACTATCTTTTAGCGTGAACGATTTCTATCACCCCTTCTCTTTCAGTTTTCAGAGCTCATTGTTGGAAATCTCTCTATGCCGAAGGATATGCAAGATTTGTCTGAAAGGAAAACGAATTTTTAAGTCTAAATTGGCTAAATCGAATAAAAGTATTCCTGTCAAAAGAAATAGTTAAAGAAATAATGACCAAAAACTGAAATGTGGGAAATAACGGGGAGGATTATGACCCTGAGATAAAAACCAGTTGCAGAACTAAGCTTAGGAAATAAAGTTTATATCGGTGTAAACTTTAACAAAAGACAGCAGCCAAATATTTTTTACATCAATCCTTTTGTGATGCTATAGTTGCCGTTGATTTTACAAAACAAAATAAAGTATGCGGTGCTAACCAGGTCGCTTCTACCAGACAATTCGTTTCGCAAACGTGACATTTGGGATGATTCAGACGAAAAATCCTTGTCGTTAAATCAAACGCGGAAAAGTTTTATCCATGTTGCTCCGTTTGTATTTATTCAACCATAGTTTTGGCCCAAGAACTCACGAAGGAACTTCAGAAGAAAACACGTGCCGTTACCCTTTTGATGGAGAAGGTGGTGTTCTGGCGCATGCATTCGCGCCATCTGATGGTCGACTCCATTTTGATGAAGAAGAAACCTTCACTGACCTCTCTGAACAAGGAACCAATTTGTTGTACGTTGCTGTTCATGAGATTGGACACAATCTTGGTCTGAGGCATTCCAGCGTGCGAGATGCAGTGATGTACCCGGCTTATCTGGGATACAAGCCTGATTTGAAGCTTCATAGTGATGATATTTCTGGCATTCAATCACTTTATGGTAAGTTTTGCTATTTAATCTCCCGATTTTGAAAAAGATAGTCCAGAACTTGTGTATAGATCTCATTATACCTGCTAGCCGAAAAAAAGAGGAACCACTTTTTAAAAGACAAATCATTGAAAAAGCAGCTTCCTGCGTGAAAGACTCACAGATTTACTGAAAATCCATCCATTTGTTTAGAGGTTCCTTCGGATCAAAATTACTGAGACATCATCCCTCTTTTAACTGACACACTAAGAAAGTAAACAAATCAAAGGTAGGTTGGTTAAATGAAAAAGGTGGTAAGTTTCTAAAGAAACTGTGGTGCTGCGTCGGTGGAGAAAATGGAGCTACGTTATTGGTGGGAATATATCGTAGCTCCATTTTCTGCATATAAATTTACACACTATCCAAAATTCCTCCAATCGCTTTGACGGAGGGCTAACGCTCGAAACGTCAGGCTTTTAACTCTTTACGGTGCCCAATTTACGTTTTCAACTCAGGTGTTAACACTAAATTACCTGGTTGAATGAAAGGTGTTGTAACCGAAGGGAGAGAGCCCTATCTTCCATAAGATGCTCTGGAATATTTATCTCCCACAATCCTTTCATTAGAAGAAGTCTGAATTTACCACTGTTGTGTTTCTCATTCTATTTCAGGCTCTGGAGGTGGAGGTAATGTTTTCTCCGGAAACTAACATTGAGTGATTATGAAACTAGCATTAATTCTTTACCGAGCGAATTCATTTATGTTTCTTTTTATTTGATTATTCATGTTATCATTTAACTACGGTTTTATGGGTCACATGATGTCTACAAAGTTTAAAGCTCTTTAGGCATAAACATCCAGTCTTTTAAAACATTACCTTCAAACCTAATTGCTACAACGAAAAAACGCATGAAAATTTAGCAAGGCCTCCCAGTGACATCTGATTGGCTACAGGTTTATTAGAGAACATTCATAATGATTATTTAAAAAATTATTCTGGATTTGAGTTACAGTTGTGGTTGTTGACAATGTGCATTTTGCAGGCAGTTGGCCTGTGCCCTTGTAGCTCTGTTTCTCGCTGTTACACCCAGAAGATGAGATCATCCATGACAACCAGGTCGAAAGAGTTTTCCACGGCTGCATCCTTTGATTGACAATCTATTATGCCGTTTTTACCTTCAGCTCATTGACGCCCTTAATGGCTAATGTAGAGTTTCGATTCTGGTTTTTCAGATAGTTTAAGGACCGCATGCATATAAAGGACCGCATATAAAGGACCGCATGCATATAAAGGATCCTTTGCAAAGTTTAAATTTATTACCATAGTTTGTTAGCGTCTATGCAAATCGAAGCTAACTATCCACTCTAGTCATCAACCAATATACCATAGCTCCACATGATCACCGCTTATGGACGGAAACAGCTAGTAAAGAGTTATCTCCGAGTAGAAAAACAAAAAAGTCAATTATGCTGTACTAAATTGATATGTTTCTCTGTGTTTTTATAAAAATCGAATAGCTCTTTGCGCTGACAAGAGAGATGATTGTGCAAATTACCAGGACAGGTGCAACGAGATAAAGAACTACATGAGAGAACATTGCAGAGCGACTTGCAACTTCTGCTAATAAGGTATCACCTGAACACGCCTTTTTAGCTTATGAACGAGAAATCTTACGAAAATGGAGGTCCCAAAACGGCAGTTATTGTAAGACAAATGCTTTCCCATATTCAATACCACTCTCCTTTACTAGATCATCTCGATGTGCACAAAAGAAAAGGTTCTTTTGAATAGATACACGAATCAAGTATCTCTGTGTCAAAAAACCCAAATTATCAAAACGACATAATATTTGTGGAAACAGAGGATACATGGAAATACAGATACGTTCAACAAAAGCAACTTGAAAACCACGTGAATAGCTTATGTGTCCTACTATTAAACGAGTCTCCCCTTTTTCTAGGAACACGATAATAGATAGTTTTCTCTAAAAATTTCTGAAAACTATCCAAGGCGGGATTAGTTATCAATGAAACATCAAAGGGGTGTTTTGAATGATTTTAAACAGGAAGGGGGGTGGATGTAACTAACATTGTTAAACTACACCGGTAAAAAATTTCAATAACCCTTTCACTCCCACAAGTAACGTGAAACTTCTCCCTATAATAGTTTTACATTATCCAGCAAACAGGTAATGAGAATATTCAAACTTATCAGGTAGAAGGTGTCATCTTGATCTTACACCAAATTCTCATAACTAATTTACAAGGATATGTGTAAGAGCTAGAGAGGAGAATTAACAATCCGATCTTGGGAGTTAAAGGGTTAATTAGATCTTTAGCTCTAGTATTTAACCCCTTTGTTTGATCTCATTTTTTTTTAATTTCAAGTGTTTATGGAGTTTACTTATGTCTTTTTACAGGTTACGTAGAAGTGACTGCCAGCAAAGGAATTAAATAGCATTGTTCAGCAAAACGCTTGTGTTAGAAATAAAATGCTATTAGAAAAAATTATTATTTTTGGTTATGACCGATAGTATCCTTGTTAATTATGAACAATTTACGATCATCCGAGTAAAGATCATCAAAGTGTGGATCAGTCGAGGTAAAGTTTGGGGGTTTTAAATCATTAAGCAAGGCTGCTCGGGACACTGTGTTTATGACGTTCGATGACAAAATCTTTAGTTTCAAGATTTATACCTGATTGGACATATCCCTCCCCCCCCAATAGAAATAATCGAAAGAACTTTGAATAACCGTTAAGGCACCTTTTTGCACGAAAAAAATTGCTTTGAATTAACTACTGAACCGACATTTTTCTTTGCTTGTTCACGTGAGCCATCCGTTAATTAAAAATAACTGCCAATGATTGACGAAAGGGGAACAAAATTTTTGACACGTCAGACTCTAGAAGTTTTAATTACTCTAAGTAGATACCTCACAAAAAAACTCTCAGAGATGACAAATAATAAACGACGGGTGCAAAAATGGCAACGGTGCTCAATCTTAGATTAATACTCTTTACTTTCTTGACTTCATAGGTCTAGAAAATTGAAACTCTTGCGGATTATGTATCTTAAAGCCTGGATCCCTATGAGTGACAAGCATCTAATTTCTCCTTCCAATATTACTCTTCTATCATAGCGGAGTTCGCAGAGCGTAGCCCCATAATTATACAAAATAGTAGTAACCCATCAAGCCGAAAAAATTTGGATGTACGACCGTACGACCGTACAAGGTGCTACTTTTGACATGCGTGGTCAACTGTACCGTGGGCATGCCAACGCCACGGCTTTGTTCAGTAGTCCAGTGGTCAGTGCACTGGGCTCCGATTCGGACGACCCGGGTTCTAGTCCTGGCCGGGACAAGTTGTGTGGGAAAAAAAATGCGAGCTCCGCTTTTAGGCTTGGCTAAATCTATATATTACATTAAGGTCACGAGAATAAAGGAAATGATCACCAACTAAAGACGTTCTTGATTATTAAACATATTCTCTTTGTTAGCACCTTAGGAAATGTATAGAGAACAGTGTGGAGAATATGCATATGCTCCTAACCCTGTAATACTCTTTGGAATTATTGGTCAAGTGAGAGATTGTAATATATAAATACGTATAAGAGTCTAAACCTTACGAAAATAAATCTGTGATTTCTTCCGGCCTTCCATCATTTCAATAACGTAAGATTAGTCACTTGTATCGTTTAGTAACCTTTTAAGAAAAAATAACTTCTTTCTAAAAGAAAACTAAATAATTCGCAGCCTGAATCACGACGACTCGTCAACAGTCTGCTCTCACCAGTCAAAGAAAATCATTAGCATATTTCATTACTTAGGGTAGTTACACCTAATTGCAGTGACACTGTTATAAAAAAGAGCAAAAAAGGAAAAACCAAATTTGAACAATTAGCATATAGCATAATCATACGGCACAAGCATAAACACATCTTTTAATTTGTGGTATTGCTTGAAAGTTCAAACAACATTTGACACTCTCAAGAAGTTTCAAAACTTTTTTCGGTGGAAATTCTGAAAAAATCGTTCGGTTGCCAAAGTTAGTTTCAGATGCTATTTGAACTCTATTTAATCTGGGTTTTTCTCTTTCTGTTTTTTTTTAATTTCATATAACAACCGTTGTTGCATTGAATTAGGTGTACCTGCAAGTGGATTTTAGTCAATTATCACCTTACTTATCACATATCCGTTATTTTTCCGTGGATGCTGATTGGTCTCCTCAAAGAAAAGTAATCAATGCTGTTAAAACAGCTTGTGCTGTTTGGTTATAATCATTGTTGTGATTAATATTCAAGGAAGGGTTGAAGATCTCTATAACTCCTATATGTAAGCTTTTCCCCTAATTCTCAACAGTAGATCGAAAGGTTCTTGACCTTCAATGACTCCTATGGATCAGGAAGTGGGTAAGCCCTCTATAACGAGCTTTTAGATGAAAGTTTTATGGCAAAAGATTTTTAAACGAGGTAAATACAAGCATCCAGTAAAAACGGAAACTTTTGACGACGTACGTTTGAACAACTGAAGTACTTTAAGTTGACCTCAGCTAAAAAGAAAATTTTATGACGATTGCTTATCGGGGTACACGAGATCGCTTAGAGTTGATTAATATCTTCGTTCTTTTTTACCAAAATAAGTTATTGTTTAAGAGGAGAGCAAGTTGAATGCTCGGTGTAAAACTCGGTAACAAATGTCTCTATCCCTTTACAAAAGGATATGAAAAATGATTAGTAATCGTGGTAAAACGAAATTTAAAGGTCATTTTAAACCATGAAACCAACAGTCTATTACAAGCCCTCTGTGGAATGAATTTTACCTTTCCTATTCCTCGCTTTTGAATAACAAGCCGAAAGAGAAGACAAGTTTGGGATAAGGGTCGAATGTGTAAAATTGATGACCCAGAAAATTTTGAATAGGCAGCAAGGTTAAGCTAAGAGAAAAAAGCACTAACCTGACTATCGGCGTTCTAAAGATAACACAAAAGTATACATAATAGGGATTAACTTAGTGCAGGCAATAGCTGAATGGCATGAAACGTCACAGTGTCACTTTGTCGAACCTTGAAAAACCTAACGCGCAGAATCCACATGATATCGTTTTACGGAAACAGAATCTTTGATGTAGAGTACTAAGGTTCATCTACAGTTTTGTTTTTCTTGAACGGTGGAAAATGTGAACTTATTCAGTTAGGGAAGTTTATATTTTTTTACATTGACGTTTTCGATTGAATATGGTACAGCCTTGAAGCTTAATCTACATACAATCGGGGGTTGCTTCCGTTTGTGTGTTTCAGAGATTAAATTTTGACTTCACATCATATCTTATCAACAATAGAGTATTCTCTACAGGTGATAAGGATTAACAAACAGTAAAAGAAGATATAATCATTTGCATACATGAAAACACTGATAAAATTTATTGTCTTAATCTTTTCAATCTCTCTCATTCCCATCAAATTTGAATTTGGATCACCGACCAACATTCACAAAAACATCTGGTCTAAGTGGAAAAGACAAATTATCTACAGTCCCTTATTTGATATTATCTTGATTACTTATTTGGGATCTTTAAATGTGAAAGTAAGAACCTCATCTACAATTTTAAAAATACTTAATCACTGTAATAGGAGAAATATAAATACGCTTTTGAAGTACCTTTATGAAAGCGTCCGACACGAGTCTATTAATGACAATTTTTTGCCTTTCATCTGGAAAGCATAAGAAGCAATTCACTTTGGAAGGAAAAAAGAAGAAAAAAAGAAGAAAAAAAATCAACCAGGTGGTATGTGTTTGAATATTGTAAATCTAGTGTTTGATTTTCACCGAGTGATACCACATATTTACTCGACCCATGCTCATCAGGAAAAAACCGCTTTCTCGGTGACTTGTAAACTATTCAGCTGAAGTCAGAGGTGTTCATATTATGTTCGAAAGTTGAATGTTATATTAAGTTGTAAATGTGCGAGGAAACGAGAAGTGCCGAATGTTTACTGCAGAATGACATCGTTATCTTTTTTTGATTGTAAAAAGGTTTGTACTTGCGGCGAAAGATATCATGAATTGCATTTGAATTGAAGTTCTGCGTCACTTCATCTCGGCAGGTAACTTCGCCACCTAAAGAGGTAATTTCTAAAACAAGTTAAAACAAACATAAAGAATTGGAATAGATGGATATTCCAAATTCATCACAGCCGCTTCGACCCTTAGAAAAAAAAATATTCAAACGCTTTTATTTGTCGTTTTTTCCCAGTTATGAGCTCTCATGAATTTCTTTTCATGTAAATTATGTTAAATTATTTTTTATCCGAAAACCTAGAAATTACTGAATTTTTATTGGGAAAACAAATGCGGTTTAGTATCTTTCATAAACTTTAACATATTTATTTTTGTATATACGGTCGCAACTTCCTCGTAATCTCAGTATTGTCCTTTTTAAAACCAGGTTGCCGATAACGCATATTTCACACGACGATTTAAGTTTCATCTTCGTGGAATAGAATGGCGGCATATACCTCACTTAACCATCGACAGAAAGTATTAATAGCTATTTAAGTTAATGCCTGTCAAACAAGCCGCCGATGATATCTGCCCACCTCCTTCGGAGAATTTTAAACGAGACTAGTTAATATCTGGAGTCAATCAAAATATCTTTGAATTCACTTTCAACTATTCGGCTAAAGTTGATAGAATCTCCATTTTCACTACTTTAATTTCGACGCACGAGACTTCGGCCAATAATGACCATTGCAGTTGACAGGAAATTTTTCATCGGACTCATTAGCAAACAGGACTGTCATGAACTCCATTGATATCTCTATGGGAGAAAAAAGGTCGGAGATAACCTTTGTTTTTGCCATCTGCCATCCAAATTCAATTTAGAATTATCCAATGAAATTTATGGTCTGGACGGCACTGGATGATGTTATTTACAACTGGTAAGTTTTGACAGGCGACAAGTTTAAGGACAGGTGTTTGCATAAATTTTGGGGGCTCTCGAATGTAGTTCATAGCTTCTTCTCTCTTTCTTTTCTTTAGGGCAGAGGTGTAAGTTTCCGTCAAACGAAGAAATATGATGTCTGTAAACTTCAACAACAGTTCCATCTTAAGCGCATACGACTCTACTGAAAGACATCAAGCTTCAGCGGAGCGCATCGTACGTATCGTGTTTGTGTGGATAATCATCGTAGTTGGGCTTGTTGGTAACTCTTTCATCGTTGCTGTACTCAAAATTTTCCCCAGAATGAGAACGACCACCAACTATCTTCTTGTCAACGTAGCCGCCGCAGACATAACAACCCTGTTATTCACGGCAATGCACCTCATTCCGATCCGGGGCCCCTTCCCAAATGGCGCTCTTGGCAGCTTCCTTTGTAAGTTTGTTTATACCAACAACATCACCATGGTTACATTGCTGGTAACTACAATGACGCTAACTCTTCTAGCTGTAGAGAGGTACCACGCTCTGGTGAAACCGCTGATCACATCACGGAGGGTCAACACCGACAACATTGCTTACATCATAGTCGGCATTTGGTTTGTTGCTATAGCGATGGTTTTGCCGCTGTTTGTGTCGGTCGATCATCGCCCCAACTCCAACAGTCTTTGCTCTCCAGGTAACAAAATGGATGAGATGAAGGTGTACGTGTATTGTCTTATGGCCCTACTCACAATAATCCCCTTCCTTGCTATCGCGTTCTGCTATTTCCGAATTATCTCCGGCTTGTATTTTGAAAACACGATTTGTAGCAGAGGGCAAGGACCTAGCACGCCACAAGAATTGGGAGAGAAAAAGAGACTTGTCGTACTTCTCATGGTTCTAACGTCAGTTTTTTTCGTCGCATATGTTCCTTATGGCGTAGCGCTTATTCTGCAGTTTAGCGGAATGGCCAACAGCAGCGATGAAAAACGCGTTATCTTTAGTCGCTTCAAGACCGCCGTGCAATATTTAACGCTTCTCAATTGTTCCACCAATCCTTTTATCTATGCAATCCCGAGTACCAACTACAGATGCTGCTTTAGGTACATCATCAAGAAAATATTATTTCGGAATACCAGAGAGGAGGTTCACGCTATTGGTCTTAAACGAAGAAGCCTACCGGAAGTTGTTTAAGAGCAGGAAAATCCTGAAATGCTTTGATCTCGTCTTTCGGAATAATATGGAAGAGGTTTCGTGCAACTTGACTAAAACGATGAAGCCTACCAAAAATTGTAAGAGCAGAAAAACCCTGAAATTATTTGATCTTGTTATCTATATCTATCTATCAATTGCTTACCAAGTGGGAGGTCCATACTGCGAAAAACTCCGTACAAGCAGTCTTTTTCCAATAAACATCGACCCAAACCGGCCTGTCATTAATTGGGTTATAAGACGTTTTCAGATCGGAATTTCCTCAGACAATGTGCAAGAGACTATAATTTCTTGATGTGCACCATCTAAAAACCGTTAAATATTATGAGATAATGGTAAAGTGAATAGCCTTAAACCATTAACTCCCGAGTGGTCCGTCTACTTTAACCGTGAAATATGAAATTCTGAGAAACGAGAAGAACATGTACATTGCGTGGTAAATTTGTATGTATCATTTTCTTCCAAAACAAACGATAAAGAAATTATAAAAGTTAAATTTAGAGATAAAAATGTTTAAATAGATTATCCAAATTGTATGCGCCCTTCCGTGCATGTGTATCTTGCCATATCAAATGTTATTTGTATGATACTGATGATAATAAAATAACAAATAGCTCAGTTTTTTCGCACGATTATTTTGCAAACACGGTCGCGACTATGCAAATTTCTTTCGATCACACAACAATCTCTGTCTACCCTTAAGTATCAATTAAATGCAGAAAAAACATGGCCAAATAATCTCTCGAAATTTTATCCAAATAGAAACAAAATTGGCTCAGCGTTATGGGGAAAAAACGCACCAATTTATTTGCGTGTAGAAAGCCCTCGCAATATAAATTTGCACGTGCATGAGCTTTGTTTTCTTGATTTGACCAAACATGTTTGCGCAGCATAGATTTTGAAATTATGAGTGAGGTTTAAATTGATCTGGGATCTTCATTTCAAAATTATTTGCAAGAGATGTTAAATGAAAATTAAAATTAGTATTTACCGGGCTTAGAACTTGTCCAAATACCGTATATTTTCGATGTCATCGCCTGAAGTTAATAAGTACAGCATTTTACATTTCAGTCTTGTCCGTGATTTGCTTTGCCTTTGAGAATAGAAGGATGTATAATTAAAACCTGAAAAAGCTTTTTTTGTCGCTTTTACAACTTTGACGTCCATTTTTATATAAACAGGATGCCTGCTTTCCATTTTGACCTCCATAAGGCCTTTTTTGATCTGGAGGGAAGAGAGTAGCTGTCCGCAGTGTGAACGCCATTCTGTCCTTTACTAATTTTTAGCGGGCTGGTAAATTTTGCAATCAAGGCGTGCGGAGCTGCTAGAAGATACATCAGTGTGCCCGTGCGCTTGAATTGCACCTCTGGTCTCCTTGGGGGAATAGATATTTACTTTCAGCTTTCAAAAATTATTTGACATGTAGTCGAGATTCATTTGACATAGTGCTCCACAGTAAGAGGCAAAAACTGAATTTATAATCACGATAATTAGAACACGAGGAAAAATGAGTAAATAGATTAAAAAAAATTAAAATACTTCGGGTTGTTATCCCATTTTATTACCTTTTATCGATTAGACATTCCGGGGAAATAACGGTAAAGGTCTCATTTCGCAAGAACGTAGAAATGTCGTTTACATTTTGAACGATAAAAATAGCAGTAATGACAACAATAACGATGATGATGACTAGTATGAGAATGACGACAGCAACGTTAATAATAATCTATGATGATAATGATAATACTTAGTCAGGATGCTCACAACGCCAGGAGGTTTTGAAGAGAGCTCTTAATTTTAATCACCACAATACTTCCTAACATAAGACAAGATGGAATATGATTATCATAAATCAGGAGATTATACTGACAGACGGCTCAAGATTGTTAAAAAAAAAAAACAAAATATCTGCTGATCCTAGTTTCCTTCGTCCAAGAGCAATCCAAAGTCAATATTTCTCCAACGCTAGAACATTGTTCCTCTGCACAAAGTGAATTTCCCTTTCTATCAATTTTTTTGTAACTTTTTGACATGCTGTGTTATCAGACGATGAATAGTCATGAGTCTAGGAAATTCATGCGTATTAAAGTTAGAAATAAATCCGACTCAACCACGCTCTACCTTTGTAAACAGTTTCCCAATCTGATTTGACACTGATCATTACCAAACGGCCTAAAAGCTCCAGTTTATAACACTCTAACAATCTTGCCACTTAGAATAGGTAGTTGGACTGAAGTACTTGATTTGTTTGTTAAATCTGGATGTAGAGAGGCAACTAAGGAATCGAGACTGCGCATTGTTATCGTTTCTTACACAAAATAAAAGATATCGTAAGTCCCTCTCAGTGTCTCGATATCGCGAAGGTGAGCGGTGACAAATTTCATTCAAAAGAAGAAGTTGAAAGGAAAAAATATATTATTACTTTCACGCTTTGCAGTGAGCACCAGATGTGGGAACAAAGTAATTATCACTCGACTCAAACTTTAGGGTAATTTCGGTAATCCGCATAAATGCAAAACAAATTTCAGAAAATTATAATTATATTGAGTTATTCAAAAATTTATTTTGGGTCTTTTAGTTCTAACATCTTCTACATACGATTATTCTTCGGCTTGTTTAGATGTCCAAAAAACAGTCATTCGCAAATAATCTTGCTAAGATAGTAATCCTAAACAAGCAACGGCTAGGATTAAGCTGATACTAGAGAGTGCTTTTTTATCTTTTCAAAGTTGAAATTAATTAGAGCGGACCTCTAATACTGAGCTTAATTTTATCTTAGAACGCCTATGCGGTACCTTTATTAAAATTTTTAAGTTTTTAATTCGGCTTCCTCAGAGGAAAAAAAATTATTCAAACTAAGAACTTAATCACCTTTTGAGTTAAAATCATTAATTTTAATAAATTGCTATTGCTTCATGGTCCCATTTGGTCGTCGCTAACAGAATATATATATAGAGAGACTATAGAAAATTGACTAAAGATGAAGGGAGATCATTAGAATACTACGGAGCCTTAGAGGGGGATCAGGTAAATGTTTAAATCCTCCGATCCCCCTCCACCCTGACAATGAATACTCACCCTTACCCCCTTCCACAGTTTGCCGTCAATAACGCCAGCTGATATTAAAAACATTTACTCTCACGTTAAGTGTGAGTCAGCATTGTTGAAAGTTCTATAGAATTTTTAATCCTGTAATACTGATTCGAAAACCAATCATTATAATTTAGAGAGCACAACGTATAAAAATATTAATCACTTTGTCGTTTCGTTGGAAAAAAGAAAATTTTCCGCAGTGGTCGTGTAAAAGAAGATCCTTTGTGTTCTAAAAACGATTCTCCCTGAAGCAAAGGAAATCTTCCTTGATAATCACTAAAGGTGAGGTGAAGACTTAAATACGAATCAAACTAAAAAGCCGTAGAAATAATTATTACATTTCATACAAAGATCTACCGTAAAACTACCGCAAAAAAAATACTATTGTTTTTTCATTATTTGGTATACTCTCGACAATAAGAGTGTGTTTATTTATCAACATTTTTTGGTCGAATCGTTTTCGATGCATGGGGAAAATGAACTAATATTTTCGTTTTTAATGACTCGTTGTTATGTTCTCTGAAATCTCAAATGCTTCGTTAATGACCGTATAGTGATTACGTGAAAAAAGACTGCACATGGCAGATAATCGTCGTTGCATGGGTCATTTTAAAGAGGACACTGTGAGACGGCTGAATGAAATGGGAATCTGAAGATTTGTCCAACCATTTAAAAGGGTGCATGGAAAATGTTTTTGATAAAAGTAAGGGTAGGCTTAGAAGATCTGAAATTAAACTGATTTGCTATCTGTTTCTCTTTGATACCATATATTTGTTTGTGAGTGTGCCACAAATTACCAGCACCCCAACAAATTTTATCTTTTTGTTGAAAGTGGCGATATACCGTCATCGTCTCACGGTCTTTTAGTAACCATAAACTGTTTTGAAACACTGTAACAAAGGCTGGGTTTAATTCTTGTTGAAAGTGGCGATATACTCCAATAGTCTAACAGTCTTTTAGTTTTTAGTCTTTTAACACTGTAATAAAAGCTGGGTTAAGTTCTTCATGATCTTTTTGAGAGAACAGTGGAGATTTAAAATGCATCATAAGGCAGATAACTAGTCTGACAAAAAATATTGGTTGCGTACTGTAAAATAATCAGCGTTTCAAGTTGATAAGGTGATTAGCATCATGTAGCGGTGAAGTCAAACAGCGGCAAATTGATTGTCGCAAGACACAGGTGTCAAAATTCAGAGATAATATTGCTTTTTACGATGCCTAATATGGTGCATTATGGCACATTTCTGTTGTTTTAGGAATAGCAAAAGTTAACCGTTATGTGAAAGGACAAAAACACAAAGTATGTCTGAGAGCCTCGAACCGACAGCGGGGCAACCCGATGGATCAGAATCGCAGGCACCAAAGGTGGTTGCTGGGATCATCATAATTCTAGGACTGTTTAGTAACTCGTTAATTGTAGCTGCAGTAATAGGCTTCCGTCGCATGAAGACGACAACCAATTACCTTCTTGTCAACGTGGCCGCTGCAGACATAACCACTCTGTTGTTCACAGCGATGCACCTCATTCCAATCAAGGGTCCCTTCCCAAATGGTGCTCTTGGCAGCTTCCTTTGTAAGTTTATAAGAACTAACAATATCACTATGGTAACGCTTCTTGTGTCCACTCTGACGCTGACGGTTTTGGCTGCTGACAGATACCAAGCCATGGTGAAACCCTTAAAAATATCTTGGAGATTAAAAATCGAAAAGATCGGGTACGTCTTAGCAGTAATCTGGCTGATAGCCATGGCTACTGTCTCGCCGCTTTTCGTGTCTGTGGACCAGCGCCCTAGCATAAACAATACTCTCTGCTCCCCCGGTGATGATCATGCGGCGATGAAAGTGTACATTTATTGCCTGGTGACCCTCCTTACCTTGATCCCGTTCCTTGGCATTGCTTTCTGTTATTCGCGGATTATATCCGGATTGTATTTTGGACAAACAATTTGCAGTAGGGGTAGCGAAGCAATGGCAGAAAAAAAGAGGCTTGTTATAGTTCTCATGGTGTTGACAGTCGTCTTTTTCATTGCGTTTGTTCCTTATGGAGTAGCGGTAGTATTGCAGTTCAGCGGGATGGCCACCAGAAATGTTGAAGAACTTCGTATCTTTAGTCGATTTAGGATTGTAGTGCAATATCTGACACTTTTAAACTGTTCTCTAAATCCGTTCATCTATGCCATTCCAAGTTCAAATTATAGATACTGCTTTAAATGTATGTTGAAGAAAATGTGTTGCCAAGACATCACGGAAGAGGTTAATGCCATCCAGCTGGACACAAGACGGGGTGTGGCAGACGAACGCTAGCGCTTTGATGATCACGGATCATTTGAAAGGCGATCATGTTATCAAAGTATACCTCATTTATATCGTTTACCTTATCCGGTTCTTTTGACGCACGCAGATGAGTGAACTTATAGACCAACCAGTGGACAAGCCAATAAATTTAAGCTATTACTCGTTAAAGCTAACGTTAAATGCCATTTAACTAAGCAACCAAATGATGTCTCAGTAATGTATTGTAAAAACGTATTTTAGTGAAAGTAGCATTGTAAAATGAATAAAGTACAATGAAGCCTGCTTAAAAAGATTCAAGCTATTCATCAAAATGAAAAAATCTCTTGTTGGCGTGCTCGGAATGCCTGGTTTCAGTAAATTTATATTCAACTGATGCCCTTTTTTGCGTCATTTTGTGTATTTCCGAACATCTGGTAACTGATTTGTGACAGTGAGGGTAGAGATCTTCAACGTTCTTTCAGTAAACCTATCAAGAAAAAAATTTTCATTGTTATTAACTTTAGCTATGGTAACTTTTTTGTTAGGAGAAAATTGGCTTTTTTATGAGAAAATTTTATCCCTCACAAATTGCCTTTATCAAAATCTAGCTGTAAACAATACGAAGAGAATCTTTTCAGGGGAAAAATTGTTAAGGAAACTTATAAGTATATAAATGCGACTTTGAGCAAATAGTAAGTGGATGTATAATCTGGATTTGCTACGGCTTAATCCTCCAAAAATATTATTCAACAAGCTAACAATCCAGATGTGGTATCCATCTCCTAAGAGAGTTGTCCATGATAATGCCTCCTGGATTTAAACTTTAAGCTACGTCTGATATATTTTAACATCCCCTACAAGAGTGGTTAAGATCAATTGGATGAAACACACTCGGCTACAATATTCAATTTTCTCTGCCTATTTTTCTGTGATACTTATGTAAGCGTTTTTTTTTTTTACATATCGAACGTCCTGCATCTTGAATGACAAAGAAACATTTACCTGCTCGATAAATACTTGGAATAGATATCATTTGATTTTTTATCTTACGTGAGGATTTTCTATTTCTATAGAGTATACTTGTTTTTCTTTTTTACTGTAACTTTGAATTTGCATCATACGGTTGGATAGTACCCTTGGCATTTAATTATGAGCACTATGCTTTTGTACTGATCAGAACCCAATCTATTTAATCCGGCTCCGTAAGTAACCAAAAATGAGTTTTTCCTTAAAATATCGACTCAGTTTCAACAAGAAAGGTGCATGATAAGAAAAAAGGAGGATATCAACGAGGGGATTTGTCAGAAGACAATGTCAAGGTTTCGTGGTTATGTTTTAGCAAGGGCAAAATGTGATTGTCATGATCTGGGAGGGTTTTTTGATCGCATTTCGCATCCTCAGTAGTTTTCTTTATACATCGACCCCCGTTGCTTTCTTGAGGTGGATATGGTTAAAATAAGGCTAACTTTGAAGTTCAGGAAGCTGTTAATTTCTTCTCTTATGGGACAATTGATTCGATGGATCTCGATTAAGATATTCATAGGACTTTCCGTTTACTTAAAGTATTTTTAATAGATTTGAACAGCCCATTCAAAATGGAAATTGTGTATTTATAATCCACGCTGAGATCTTTACAAGGAAACGTATGATTTACAGCCAAAAAATAATAATATATCTTAAGGCTTTCTCTGATTTCGGGTTAATTCGAGAAACATTATTGTAAATTCTATCAGTAACAAATCTCTCAGTCGGAAGAAGACTGCTTCACACTGTATTCGCGACTCTGCCAACAGATGTACGGGTACGCCTTTCGAGCAATTCAGAACGTTCCTCAGTCGTATCACGACCTAACATCTTCTTCAGGATGACCTTGAATGCCAGTCTATAATCAGAACTTTGAAATGCGTAGATAAAAGGGTTTATCGAGCAGTTCATTAAAGTAAGATACTTTGAACCAGTTTGGAGATACAAGAATGAGTGGTTCACTTTACTCACTTTTAAGATGAGCAGAACTCCATAAGGAATGAAAGCTACGAAAAACGCGACAGTAAGCAAGATCAGCAATGTCACTAGTTTTCTTTTTTCTCTCGTTTCCTCTCGTGTGTCACATCTTTCGCCTTTGCTTCCGCAAACTGTCTTCTTGAAATACATTCCATAAACGATCTGAGAGTAGAAGAATGCGATCAAAGAAAATGGGACTAATGTGAGAATGACAACCAAGCAATCAATGTAGACCATCATTTCATATTCTTCATCTCCGAGAGAACAAAGATAATCTTTTGGATCCCAATGGAAGGTAGATAGCAAAGGAATAACTAAGGCAACGGCAACCATCCAGATTCCAGTTATAACGTAAGCAATCCTGTCAATGGTCAGTCTACCGGTTACTGAAAATGGTTTAACCAGAGCTTGGTATCTTTCGAAGGCCAAGATTGTTAACGTGAGGGCAGTTACCAGTAGCGTGATAATCGCGATACTATTAGTGAAGAAAAATTTACAGACAAAACTTGCAAATACCCCAGAATGAGCAGCACTGTACCTCGTGGTTATCAAGAACAGGATTGCTGTAAAAAACAGCGTGGCAATATCTGCAGCAGCTACGTTCACCAGGAGGTAGTTGGTGGTGGTTCTCATGCTGCGAAACATTTTCACAACAACAATAACCAACGAGTTTCCAATGACACCAACGGTTATGATCAGCCAAAAAGAAACTATTTTCACAGCCTCAACAATCTCCATTGAATGATTAGGCATAGCCGTAGGATGTGTGGAGCTTCCTGTTGTGTTGTTGTGGAAAGCCTCCATTAATTTTCTTTATTCCGAAACAAATCACTCCAATCAAATTTCTGTAGCTATGATAGAGAAGAAATTGAAACTCAGTTAGTATGAAAAACTAAACCCTCTCATGAGAAATTTCGATGTACACGTTCCTAAAACCTTGGGCGAACGAGCTTTCTCGGAGAATTCTCGTCTCTCTTGTTAATGCAAACATCTGCGCGAATCACAGCGCCTCTTTATCTAAAAAGATAAAATTAATGCATGTTCATTAGGGATAACAACAATGGTAAGTGATTGATCGATGATCAAAGCGCGGAAGTCAGTATCAACAGAAGTAGTTACTAATGAGTGTTATTTGTTTTGACGGGTGGTATCTCAGGTGCCTTTACCTATCTAAAACAGTAACACTTAGATTAACTTCTTCCTTTCATCTGTAAATGACAAGAATGACGATTGAGACGGGGACGCAAGATAATCCTAATTTGACTTGGGATTGAAAATATTATGTTTACCAAATAAACAGTTAAAAAAATCAACATGTATTGTCACTCTGTCAGTTTCCACGGGTCTTTTATCAACAGGGTTCTTAGGCTTTCCATCTTTAAGTCAATCTATGAATCGTATGTTGATAGCATCATTTTGAACAAAGCCTAAAAAAACATTTTTTGTTTGGATGACAATTTGTTTTCGAAAGGTGTTGCGTTCGATTTCCATGCAATGCACTATTGCTACCATGCATTCCTAATAAAATGTGTTCATGCATCCTTTCCGAGGGGCTAAATGTGTTTTTTCTCGAGGAAAACTTTGGCATTCTAACCTGAGATCATCTTTAAAGATAGAAACGGCTGTGATGTCTACTCGTTAAATATTTGTTTTTACTGTGAAGCGCAAACCGTTTTCAAGTAACCAAATGTCACTTTTTTTTTGACAGCGGTCGATGTTGAATTTTTAGTGTTCACTTAAAAGGCCTTGGCAACAGGAAAGTTTGTCTCTTCTTCTGTTGAAAAAAAAACACTCTCTTATCTTGAGATACATTTTCAACATATACCTTAATCACTTCGATCTGGAAATTGGTCCGAAGGGTCACCTAGGGAATATTCCCCAGTAATTCCCCACTGTTTCCTTATCCTTTGGGCTATCAGCGTTATACATGTAGCAGATTTCCGATGGATAGCAAATCGTGAAAATCTTATTTTGCAAAAAATTTTTTTTGCGTCTAGTGTCGGCTCTTCCCTCATTTGGTGTTTTTAAAAGCACGAACGGCGTTATTAATAGTTAAAACTGAAAACATGGCAATTGTTTTATCAGCTTTTGCTCTTTTACAAGGATGATGGCAGATTGGAAATGCGCTTAGCATTCATGTTCACCTTTCAAGACATTTTCGAACATCCTGCGCTTTTTCTGATATATCGTATGTGAGTTATGTTTTCGAAAACGAGAAGTGAATCCGAACGCGGAAATTTGATAAAGTTAACAATATCATGAACAGAGGGGGAAATGAATAATAAAATCTAGTTTTTCCCGAATGTTACATGAGAGGGTCAATAATCATAGGTAATGCTCAGGCAGCACATGATCTTTGCCAGTTAATAACCCACTTTCTAAATCGTCTAGGGCGACTAAGAGAGGAATAAAGGTGGTAAACAGTTCCGCGTAAAACTGTTCTCTTGGTCACCTGCAACTGATTTTTAGCCTTTCCTTAGTATAACCCTCGTCGAAGTGTTACATGGTGTTTAATTAAGGAAATGAGGGATAGAAATGGCCCGCAAATCTAGCTGAATTTAGCGCAGTGATGCACCCAAAAAGCATAACTTTTAAAAGACCTTCTGGTTGAAATTTTGCCTGTAGGATAGCTGTTTTATCAACGCTTTCGAGAGAAAAGCAACGCGTGATACGAAACAAATTTACAAGCAGGAAATAAAAAAGCTGAACTGACTGGAAAGTGATAATTTAAAAAATAAAATTATCAGATTCAGTACCTTATAAGTAACTTAAATCTACCTGAACCAAAGTTACAGGAATGAGTAAGAAATTTGGTTTTAGAAAGAAATTTCATCTACCTTTTCGTGGTGATAAAGACACACGAAAACTGCACAATACATAACTGTTACCGAGCCTTAAAGATGAACATGGCTCAACCAAAATGGACAGAAATGTTTATTTTAACCCTTTAACCCCTCAGAGTTAATAGCATCTAATTTCTCCTTACAATATCACCACTGAATCACATATTAATGTAATGAGAATACAGGAAATTATCACCAGCTAAAGAAACTCTTGCATGTTCGACAAATTCTCCTTGTCAGCTCCACAGTAAATGTACAGAGAGCAGTATGGAGAACATTAATACTGATGTTAGGACGTAAAGGGTTAAAGATGCGATCAAGTTACCTTTTAATGCGTTAACCGAAAATTGTGGATCCGTTTCAGAATTTCGAGCTTCGATTATCTGACAGCTTGAAGAATTTTGAAAGGAATTGAAGTAATTGAAATCTTCGAATTGTTTCAATATTTAACCAGCGATACTTCTAGTTGAGCTAAACGTCAACACCAACCTTCGTGTAAAAGCGTAAAAACAAACAAACTAAGCTGTCAAATTTGAGGTTTTCGCGGTACAGAGAGCATTAAGCATAATTATAATGGCTGAAGATAGAACACAATGGTCAATTTCACCCTTCGTTTCGAGAGATAAACTGATCGATAAGCGAATCAAAAGTTTCAGCCTAAAAGAAAAATAAAATTTTTAAAGGTATACAAAAAAATTGAAAAATTAATTATAATACTACAGAGATAATTTGAACTACTGAAAAATATATTCAGTCAGAAGCTCTCTACGCAAACTCTACCTGTTCATCGATTGGGAAGCATGGCTTCCTGATTCGGCTTTTAAAAAAAAATGTAGTTACAAATATTAACATTAATAAGGTTTGCGTTTAAATCTTAGTGTTGAATAATTTAAATTGCAAATTACGATGATGAATAGTTTCTAAAGCTGACCTTTGGAGCGATAGCCTGTCATTCGCTATGACAAAGGGCTAACGCTCAAGACGTCATCTTAATAAACCCTTAACGGTGGCCAATTCACTCAGTTGATCAAACCAAATTATCCTTTAACAGCCCCACCTACGCAGCACCAGTTTCTTAGAAACTTACGTTCCCTAATTAATTTTATGATAAAAATGGTTGATCCTCTCTTCGTAAGAGGTAATTTAGTGTTAACAACTGAGTTGAAAACGTACCAATTTAGTAAATTGGTCACCGTAAAGAGTTTGAAGGCTGACGTTTCTAGCGTCAGCCCTTCGTATATCGCTCTACCGAAGGGCTAGCGCTCGCAACGTCAGCCTTCAAACTCCTAACGGTGGCCAATTTTCAACTCGGTTGTTAATACTACATTACCTGTTATACTCTCCCACCGACGCAGCAGCACAGTTTCTCTGGAAACTTACCCCCTTTATTCATTCCTCTCTTCGTAAGTTTTTAAAGGTTTAAAAGTTTGAAAGTCAAACGTTCTTGTTAAAACCAGCATTTTAAAAGCCGCTTGGAGAATTACAAAGCTGAGTAGACATGGTGCTGATTGGAAGTGACACATGTACACGTCAGGATTGATTTGCATGTAGTGAGTTGATCTCTGATCTTATGGCAAACTAGTCAGTATTTAT